CAGAAAAACACCAAAATGCATCCTGCCTTCAGCTTCATAGAGGCCAAGTGGGATAAATAAGTAATGGTAGCCATACAGGATTAGGGTTTGGGACTAGCTTTCATCAGAAGGCAATGATTTGAATGTACATCATTTAAAATTGCGTATCATAAAATATTAGAAAATCAAAATACAAAGTAACTAATAAAGGGTAGGATATTTACACAGACATATAATTAAAACTTCCTCCTCATGAAAAGTGTCAAACATTAGTGTCTCATGACTTCAGTGTAAGATACATGCAAAGTTCCTATAAATGTATTCTAAAAATTATCTTTGCTTTGTCCATAAAGGGTTTTCCAACTTGGTTTATAAACAAGATAACTATATCTGCTTGCAGTAGTTATTTTCCCTTGTAAGTGGTGACTTTGACAGATCTCATAAGATGTTATGCTGAATCATCTTTCAGAAAACTTTAATCAGCTTTTGAAACTTTTTACAGAGTCACAGCATCCTATTCAAGATAGCTACAGTTGGTTCACTTTGTGCTTTACTAAGGAAATAAATTTCTGCAAAGTTTACTACTAGAAGAGTGATCTTTGTCCAATGAAGAATAGATTATAAGTTGGCAAATAACTCACTGGAAAATCAGCAGGTGTAGTTATATTTGATGCTATGGATGATATTTGGTTTTTTAGTAGTGAATTACTTTAAACTGGCAATTCTTTAAAAAAAAAAAGGAACTTGAAAGTCAAAAGTACAATATCATGAAATTCATTTTTATTTTCTGTAATGTGAATCAGGAATGCCAATTAATTGAATTTATCTTATGAAGAAGATTCAATCTGCTATTAAAACTTTAGATTTCTGCGTAAACCTATTAAATTGTTGATGGAAAAAATACAGCATTTTGGTTGGTTAGTGAATAATGATTCTAACTTCTTTTTCTAAATATATAATCAGGCATAATGTTGATGGATTCTGAAAGAATCTGAATATTATTAGTGTTCTTTTGAATTTATTAATTTAATTCTGATTATATCTTTTAATAATTAAATTCATGGACTAAAATACTGAGTCCATTTGAGTTATCCTATTTATTAAACCAACTACAGAGGTCCCTGATTTGAATGTAATGGAGAATTCTGTTTTAATGCAATTCAGGAATGAGTGCCATATATATATTGATTCAGCTTACATGTGTAATATGGTATTATGAGATATACCAAATGAAATTAGAGGTTGATCACTATGTGAGTATTGACATCATGTGTGTTAAAGCTTTTGCAAAGCATTTTAGAATAGTTTTATATATATAATCATCAACACAAGTAGATAATAAAATTAGAAAATCTAAATACCAACGCAATGCAGAGATCAAATTCAGTAGGAACTTGGTGTCCCACAAAATTCTGTTATTTGGTGCCAAACTCTTAGATATCATACAGTCTGCTTTGAGGAGAATTTATCTGTATTATCTTTGCTATGTTAAGAATAACCTTTTGTAACAGTAATCTCTAAACAGATCTGTTATTGCTGAGAAAATGTTCTTGTCCTTTCTCTAGTTAGCATTTATCATACCATACTGGAAAACCATATGGGAAGAATTCTAGCCTTTGCTTGATGGAGACAGAATCTAACAAAATTATCTTTGAGAACACTCACTATGTATAGAGTCATGGGTGTAGTGGAACAACACCTGGTTGTAATGTCTGTTGCATATCTGATAACAAAGCTTGGAAATAACTAGGAGGGTTATACAAAGGCTACAAACACCCTTTTAGTTGAAGAGTCAAAGGTTCCAGAAAATCTCAGGGAGTGGATTTTAGGGAAAGGTGGGACAGAAGGCTTAAGAAACAGAGCCAACTAAATAAATAGTTTGATTTAAAATTCTTACTACGTGTAACTAAGCTTTTGGAGAGGCATTTTAGAATGAGGAAAATTGTACAAAAGCTTGTTGTTGTTGTTTTTGTTAGTCGCGAAGTCGTGTCCGACCCATTGCGACCCCATGGACAACATTCCTCCAGGCCCTCCTGTCCTCCACCATCCCCCGGAGTCCACTTAAGCTCACACCAACTGCTTCAGTGACTCCATCTAGCCATCTCATCCTCCGCCGTCCCCTTCTTCTTTTGCCATCTATTGTTCCCAGCATTAGACTCTTCTCCAGGGAGTCCTTCCTTCTCATTAGGTGGCCAAAATATTTGAGTTTCATCTTCAGTATCTGGCCTTCGAAAGAGCAGTCAGGGTTGATCTCCTCTAGGACAGACTGGTTTGATCGCCTTGTGGTCCAAGGGACTTGCAGGAGTCTCCGCCAGCATCACAGTTCAAAGGCCTCAATTCTTCAGCGCTCAGCCTTCCTTATGGTCCAGCCTTCACAGCCATACATTGCAACTGGGAAAACCATAGCCTTGACTATACGCACTTTCGTTGGAAGGGTGATGTCTCTGCTTTTTAGTATGCTGTCTAGATTTGCCATAGCTTTCCTCCCCAGGAGCAAGCGTCTTTTAATTTCTTGGCTGCAGTCCCTGTCAGGGAACCCCAAAAGATTGGTTGCTTTTTTGAAGGGGAAATGGCTAGGAATAGCAGTATGCTATTCTAGGTAACACAGGAGGGGCTGAGTGGTATCATGGGAAGGTTTGAGGTTCTTCATCCTTGCAATATACACTCAGATGGCTAAAACCAAGTATTACTCTAAAAACATGTTACGATCTCAGCTTAATTAAATATTCACAGGGTTAATTAACTTTATTTTTGTAAATTCAAATTTAAGATGCTGGCCCTTAATCTAGAAATATCTTCTATAATATTTTGAATCAAAATATTTTAATTTATCTTCAAGAATAGTGGATAATGGATTGTGTTAGTGCCTTTAGCACCCCAGCCAAGTTGAGAAAACAGGTGGTCATCCAGCTGGTGAATTGCTGAAAGACTAGTCTTTTTGCCTGTATCATGCAGCATTATAATTGGCCTTTGTCTCTGCTGCTGGCATGGGTTAATGAACACAAGAAGAATTACAGGACTCATTTGCTAATTCTTCTGCACACCCACACACACACACAAGTATGTTTCACTGAATGGTTCAAGGTGAAGTGTGCCTGGTATTTCAGTGTTTGAATCTAGTATCCTTCAAAGCTATAATACAAATCAAAATTCTGTACAAATATTTATGTTGCCTAATGACTTAGTAATGCATCTGAAATTGAAATGCTTCAAGGAACACAAATAAGTTTTTGCATATAAGATAAGGGGATTCTCTGCATTTTCATTAAAAGCATCACTAAATGTGTTCCTATGTAATGGTTATAATTGTTAGTGTTCTTTGTTAGACCATTGAGTTAGAAAATAAGTATTTCTTCAGTTTCAGCAATAAAAAATCTATTGAAACAGTCTCACATATTAGAAAATAAGCTTGAATGTTTTTCTAAGTTAGATTTAATAGTTAGCAGTGTATCATATTAATCTTGAATGGCATTGACTACTTCAGTCTGTCATAGCTAAAGGACTTAAAAGTGAGATTTTCCATTTTCTAACTAAGAAATTGAAAATCCTAATTCATGTTTATATGAACTAGTGGCTGTATTTTCACAGAATGCTAAGCCAGTGGTAATAAGTAGCATGCTGTCTGATCACTTCCACTTGGCTCCCTGTAAGTTATGTGGCAGAATAACCAAAAGTGTACCAGGGTAGAACAGGGTTTGGATACAATCTTAAGCTTTACTGCCCTGACAGATTTCCACTTTAGCCCCTTCCATTTGCAACAGGAGCCGAATGAAAACAATTGGTCAGCATGCTCTAACATGCTGTTTGTTACTGATAAGTTAGAATTCTCAGCAATTTTGAGTTAGCATTTTGCAGAAACATGGCTGATATAATTGCTATATCTGAATAAAACAATGAAATGCTTCCATGTGATGGGAGTCTCACAGTTGCTTGTGTTTCAAGGATATGCTTTCCTGCATCTAAATAGCTTTCTTTTCATGTTTCAGAAAATAGTTCATCTTTTAACATGCTCCATCTTATCAGTAATAGGTTTTAATCTGGAAATGGGGCATAACATTAGGATAGTTACACTATGCAATGCTGTGCTAATACTGATATTTGCATGATGCTCTTATAAAGTAAGATGTTCAGATGCATATAGCAGATGTGCATCAGAATCTGGTCGCTCCAGGGCTTCATCTGCTGGCTAGAAGCAGAACAACCATTGTTCTGCACTACAGTATTTGCAGGATCCATCCCAAATGAGTGCCAGATGGGCTATGTTAGAGCAAGCTCTTCCTACCCCTGGCTGCTTTAGCAATACAGGTCCTTCTGCTAGCTGTGGTTCAGTTTTTACATTTTTCCTGCTTCTTTGTGTATCTGTCTCACCTCAGCAGTGCAGGTATTCCTGCATTTTCCCTACCTCTTGTTGGATGGCTCCTGCCATATCTGCTTTCCTATACATCTTGTTCCTGTCATGCCTGCTGTATTGTGTTGTTCCTTGTTGCATTGTGGCTTGCCCTACCTTGTCTCCCCTTGCAGCCTTTCTACCTTGCCTTATTTGCCACAGCTTTACTGCTCCTGAATTCTGTTCAGTTATCCTGCGTCAAGTCCTTGCTCCTTGTTCCTGGTGTCTTTCTGGTTTTCAAGCCTTCCTCATGACAGTGTCCTTGTTTTGTCCTGTCATGTACTTCTGGTTCTTACCTTTGGCCTATGACCCTGCCTCTGAATTTACTACTGGACTTTGGACTGGTTTTGGACCCTGTCTTGCCTGAGTCCTGGTGCCTTTGTCTTGACTTTTGCCACCCATGCCCTGGACTCTGAGAGTATAAGAATTTGGTGCTGAATTTTGCAAATAGCCAGAACAGCCATATGTATTTGGAAATGCATGTTTCTTCAGTGCAGATGATGATGGAATCTACAATCACACAGAACTGCTTAGAAATGCTTGCTTTTTTGTTACAGATTGTCATGGCTATTACTTTTGCCTACAGTTCTTCAGTGCCTTGACCATCTTTCTCTCTCTCTCCCTGCTCCCCCAGGCATTTCTTCATAGAATAATGCAATGGGCTGTTTCCAAGGTTGATAAAAGCATTACAGAGGAGACAGTAAAGGTTAGTTGTTTTTTATTCTCATTCCTGTTTTATTGTTCTTTGGTTCTTTTTATTTATATTCTGGGTTTCTTATTTACAGACATTGTTTTCAAATATTGAAGATATTCTTGAAGTTCACAAGGATTTCCTGTCTAGCATTGAGGAGTGCCTACACCCTGAACCTAATGCTCAGCAAGAAGTGGGAATCTGCTTTCTTCACTTTGTATGTCAACTTTAATAATATAAGCTTCATATTTAATTGATCTTCTCTTCCTCAGTGCTGTTTAAAAAAATGCTGGCATGGTAGTTCGAGTACACTCCATTGTGAGGACAAAACAGGCTTTATTGCATAATTTGAGGTCTTTTAAGGACACTTGGAAGCTGTAGTCACTGCTAAAACGAAAGCTTTGCTGTTTTAGTGCTTAAGATTCATTATCATTTTTCATCAAGGAGATACCTTTTACCATATTCTGCTGAACTAAACTGTAATGATTTATTTTTTACTTGTTCCAAATCAATTTCATTTTTTTGACAGGTGCAAAGAACATTTTAAAAATTTTGAACGTGTTTACTATGGAAATAAGTAGTGATATGTGCACTCTCATATTTGGTATATACATAGACTTAGACTTGCAATTCAGCGCAAAATGCATTGTTTTCTGATATCACATTTTGTATTCATTGTGGAGTAAGCTTCACAGCAGAAACTTGAACCATAAAAAGGTTCCACTTCTGGAACTCAAGTATAAAATTAAAACTAAAATGGTAAAGAACAGCACTTTTCCTTTTTGTCTGACCATTTCCCTGGTTTCTCATGTTTGACATATATGTTTGTATTTTATAGTGGTATCCTTTTTCATGCCTAGCTATCTGTAAGATTGCAGAAATTATATCTTGTATTTTTTATTTAAGTAATTTAATTATTTTTAAATGTCTAATAAAACCCAAGTTAAATAGGGAAACCATGGGCAAAATAACGAATATAAATATATTTTCCCCCAGAAAGATCGATTTCATATCTATGATGAATACTGTAGTAATCATGAGAAGGCACAAAAACTTTTGCTTGAACTTAACAAAATAAGAGCAGTACGGACTTTTTTACTGGTAAGCTAATTTTTATTGTTCTGTATCTAGAGGTGCAATCTATAATTGCTTACCTGAGAGTAAGCTAGTGAACTCAGTGTTTTTAGTGGACACATATAACATGAACTTTGGTAATTTGATAACAGTTCTTTTTTAAGTGATATGATTGCTTACAGTAATGGCACAAATAATTTAAAAGGTACACTGTTGTATAAGACCAAGGGTTCCTTCTCTCCAGAACCTTGCATAATGCAGTAGTCAAACAGATACAATCAAACAGCTCCTAAGCTACGTATAAAGGCAAGAGTAAGGGAAATGAACCTGTAGGCTTCCAGAAGTTGTTGGACTCCAAGTCCCATCATTCCCTGCCCGTATGGCCAAGGGATGGGGACGATGAGAGTTGCAGTCTAGTTGTAGGTTCACCATCTGTCTAAATCTCTTTCCTGACATCTCTCCCTATCAGTTGTGACTTTCGTCATGCACTTGTCAGCAGTACCACACCTGCATTCATATATTGTGACTTTTGTGAAGCACACTCATGACTGTTCTGAAACTACTGCAAATCAATTTCTTTAGATGGTTTCACATGCTAGCATTAAAGAGAAATGAGGCATAATTTTATAAGGCCCATTCATGTTTTCCCCCTGCTTCCCTTTTTTCAAGTCTTCAAAACCCTAAATGCTTTGCTTGTTGCTTGTAGGAAAAGTTTTCCAGTCATAGTAATCCATAGCTGTAAATCAGATGAACTCTAAAATATAATAGTTTTAGTGAATGAGTCTGCATCACACAGTCAGTGCCATCTCATGACGATTTTATGGAACTGCATTATATGTCTGGCTGAGAAGCAATGAATTTTGGCCAAAATTAGAACAAGTTAATGGAGGAATGGCTACAGACAGCTAATAAAATGGGAGCTGATAAAAATCACCTCTGCCCCTTGAAGCTACCTGAAAAAAAACTAAGCATAATGTTGACACAGTAATAAGGAAGGTCAATTTTCAAACAGAATTAAAAGTGTTTCAATTCCATTCTAGAACTGCATGATGCTAGGAGGACGCAAAAATACTGATGTACCATTAGAAGGTTACTTAGTAACACCAATCCAGAGAATATGCAAATATCCACTTCTTTTGAAGGTAAGCATTTTCATCACTTATTATAATATTTTAACGAATACGTTTTCTGCTAAATTCTGTTTGACATTAAGTAATGACAAGCCCCTCCCAAAAAGAAGTGAATTAACATTTTTAAAATATGTACCAGTTGTGCACAGAAACAAGAGGAGGAGACCAGCACACAGGCAGGAGTAGGATCATTCCAGTGGGTCGTGCCAGAGATCTCCAGAGTGAGAGCACTGGAAGAGAGCTATTTGTGGTTGGGAAGTTCCCAGCTTAGACTTGAAGGGTGTAGGCAGCTCCTGCAAAGTTTGCTCTGGGGGCAAACTGCTACATTCCCCTGTGAAAATCTGTCACTGGATGTCATGCCACCAACTCCCATTCTTTCCCAGATGGCAGGCCTATTCCTTCCATGGTCTGCTTCTGTTACCACCTTTAATGTGACTAGCAAGTCCCTCTGTATAAGTGGACCCTTGAAGCCATCAGAATGCAGTATGCCAGGATCTGCCGAATCCTGCCCATTCTGGGGTAGGAGAGGACAAACGTTTTGTGAATGACCAAGAGTGCATAAAATATGTGTTTTTTTACATATAACTTCAGCCCTGATAGGGTCTCCAAGGCAACTTTCAATTAAAACTTCAGTTTTAGGGCAGAGTATGTTTGCATGTTTAGACAGAAAAAATTGTAGGACATTTCCATGACTAAACATGTGTAGGATTGCCTCTTTAAAACATTTAACAAGAACTTTAAAAACATTCTGAAACAATTGAAGAAACATCACCTACAGCTGAAATAAAAGCAAGAGAGAATCTGAGTGGAGGCTAATACATTTAAAATCCATGCACAGCAACAACAAAACCTTAATAGTTCACCTAAAATTGAAGAAAGATATTGGGTACCATGTGTATGTGCTCTTATTATCTGGAATGTGGTTTATCATATGCAGGCAGTGTATGAGGGCCAGTGTGCTGTAGAGCTTAAGAATCCTGGACTGGGTCTCAGGGGATTTGAAGCCTAATCTCCACTCAGTCATGAAGCTCACTGAGTGACCTAGGGCCAGTCATGGCATCCCTGCCTAACCTAATTCACAGAGCTGTTGCAAAGATAAGATGGGGAAGGAAAGGATCTTGTAATCTACCCTGTAGGAGGAAGAAAGGTACAATACAAATGTAATTTAATAATATACTTCCCATGTATGCAGCTCATCCATTTAACTTTGGATACAAACACGATCATTTTCAAAAGTAATAAAGACTATTCATTGTTTTCATCTTTCATTGTTTTCCTCAGTCCTGGAACAAATAGAAAGGCAAAAAGTAACTTGGGTCTATAATGAAAATGCTGAAAAAGTTCTTAAATTGACTGATACACAAAGAGGAGCCGGGCACACCTACCCAGCTGTGATCTCTCAAAGTCTCACAGATTGGAATGGGAGAGTACACCATAAATTGAAAGAGCACACTGATGCAGTGGTGGCGGTGGTTGCTATTTACTTTCAATGTTCTATCAGTTTGATGGTCCAGTCCTATGTATGCCTACTTACTCCAAATTGTTTCCTATAATAAGTGAAAGTGCAGAAATTGACTTGTCTGTCCTTCTGCCTGCCTGCCTTTTCTTCCTCTTTTCTCTCTTTCTTAAACAGGAGTTGTTAAAGCGCACTCCCAAAAAGCACGGTGACTACTCTGCATTAATGGAAGCTCTCCAAAGTATGAAAGCTGTCTGCTCCAACATAAATGAGGCCAAAAGACAGATGGAAAAATTAGAGGTGTTAGAAGAATGGCAATCTCACATTGAAGGATGGGAGGTAATGTCAAAAAATTGGTCACTCTGTCAAATTTGGGAGACATTTAGACATCTACACAGAGCATGTTCTTTATATTCAGCATACTGCATTAAGTGACATTCTAGGTGGAGCAATTCATAACTTGCAATTAGTATTAAAGGTTTTGACCTTTTAGTTTCTGGTAAGAATAAGATTCAATTTCTCACTTGTTCATGTATTTTCGGGTTTACAATAACTTTGGTTACACACAGTTCCTTTCATACATTCTTACTGATTCATTGTTATATTACTCCATTCTTTCCATTAAATTAGATGCTATTGTAACCACAGGGTATTTTGTTTATATTCTATTATTTTTAGTATATTTAATGTATTGAGAACTACATATCACCCCACCCCCATAGTTTGAGTCGTCTAGACAATATGGATAAGGACTGCCTTCCATCAAAAACAGCAGCCTGATACCTTCTCTTCTCCTTCACCTGGAAAGGTTTAGGCAAAGAGAACATATGATATGATGTGATTGCCTTGGGAATTTCTCCGCCTCTGCATGTAGCAGACAAGGTGAGAGTGGGGAGGGGGGGGTAGAAAATCTTGCATCATCATAATGCACTGAGATTTGAATATTGCTGCTTTTAGCTACAGCCATATAATCATATCCCGTCAACCTAGTCCACCTTCGTTTTGCAAAATCACATAATTAAATCAAAATAAACATTATTTATTAAGGCTCTGGATATAATAGGTCAAAGCACTGACAGAAATAAAAATATCAGCCAAAACTACCCCAATTACTGATTTGGTCTTCTGCTGCATATTTATATGTTTTAGCTTACATTTTCAATAAAAGGGGGCTATTATGTTTGACATCTCATTTGGAATATACAGTAAATGTGGAATTCAGTAGTTGACAAAAAGCTGTCAAGCAGCATAAGCAGCATAAATTCTAGATAGTGAAATATAAATGACATTTCTCAGTTTCTGTGCAGAAGTCCTTTCAATGCTTTTGCCATGGTCATAGATGTATGATGGAGGTGGAAATCTCAGATATTTGACCATATAGAAACAGAGAAACAAAGTGAGTCAGAAGGGGTCTTCTGGGCTATCTAGTCTGATCCCCCAGCTCTAGCCAGCTCCAGTCATGTAATCCCCAACATCTTTCCTTGAATACCCTCACTGATGGGGCCTCAACCAGCTCTCTTGGAAGCCCATTCCATATTCTAGGGGTCATAACCATTAGGATGTACTTCCTGACATCCAACCTGAAGCCTGGTTCCTTGAGCTTTGCCCCATTGAAACATGTCCTGCCCTCCACTTCAGGGAAGGGCAGGCCATGGCCCTCCTCCACATGACATCCCCTCATACACCTATACATCTCAAAGATCCCCTCAATGTCTCCTCTTCTCCAGGCTGAAAAGACCCAGTTCCCTCAATTCTCCTCATATGTCATCGTTCCCAACCCAGCTACCATTCTTGTGGCTCTGTGCTGAACCAATTTTAACCTAGCTATGTCTGTCCTATAATGTGGAGTCCAGAACTGGATGCAGTATTCCAGTTGTGGGTGCACCAGGGTCATGTGGAGTGGTATCAACACCTCCTTAGATCTGGAAGCCACACTAGATAAATAGTAGAATTGTTTAAAGAGCCACAAGCACTGAAAAAAACCAGCATCTGGCAGAGGTGTGTGTGTGTGTGCAGGGGGGGGGGCAACACATGTGGTGCTACTTTGCAATCCTTTTGTAGCCAGATACATTTCTTCTGTAAAACTACAGAAACCTGAAGAAAAATAGAAAGATTGAAGGTGGAACTAAGCAAACTCAAGGGAAGTGTCTGTAAGAAGATCTGAATATCATAGATACAAAGTTAAAATTGGACTTAAGGTAGGCATGGGGAACTTGTGACCCTCCAGATGTTTTGGCCCACAACTCACATGATCTCTCACAATTAGTTGTGCTGACAAGGGCTAATGGGAGTTACATTTAGGGGGCTACAAGTTGTTCACCCTTGACTAAGGAAAGTGCAGAAGTAGATAGAGCGAATCCAGTAGACAGGCAAGTAGGTGAGTAGATGGGATGGTGGAAAGGTGACCTATATTTATTGTCTGAGCTATGAAAAGATAGCATGGCTACCATTTGGCTCTGTGTTTAGCTTTTCCATTTGTCTGCCTTTCCGTTTAGGATGGAGAAAATCTTTATGCTACAACTTCAGATATGCATATTATTTCAAATAGTTTATCTGGAAATATTTTCCCTCCTGTACCATCTTCCATTTCCATAATCTTGATTATCTTGATTGCATAAGTCATTGACTTTTCAACCTCTTGATCCTGGAAGATGTGTGGAATTATGCCTATTTCTGCAGAGTGCATATATTTACATACATTGGGGTGCTCAATGGATAATTTTACCAATCTAAAATTTCCCATGTTTAATCTATGCGTCTTTCTAAAACTATATGCTAAAGTGTGTGACTTAACTGACTATAATTATGGAACAATGGCTATGTTAACATTCAGACTGGAAGTACCATGACCAATAAAGAACTGCAGAAGGCAAACTGTGAAGAAAATTTTAATTGATTCAAAGAAATTTGAATGAAATTAAATCTAAAGATGTCACTCACCAGTAAGAATTTTGCATTGCTTTCCCTGTGCTATTTATATTTTTATTTTTTTCTTTTAGCTTTAGGTAATCTATCCAAAGAATATTTGTTGTTGGATGGATTAAAATCAAATAAAAGTAGAAGAGTCTAAAATGTAGTTACAAATTCATGTGCTGTCAGGGGTATACATGGATCTCTTATGTACAGAAATATATCCTTTAATTAGAAGGGACATACATAATTTACTTCTATTAAAATAAATAGGATATAAATAGGTGGATTATCTTGACTTGCTCTTCTTTCATTGGTGCCATAACATCTGGCTCCAGACTTATCTTTACAAATTCTGACCTTCTTGATAAAGGTTTAATTAATATTTTTTGACCTTCTTATGGCTGACCCTTGTTATAATCAGGAAAAAAAATTCTGCAGTCCCTCTTTCTGGCCCCAGAAAATCCTTAGAAGATTCTTGGGTCACATGATCAATAAAGGTTTAAGGACTAATCACATAATAAGGTTTATGTGGTTTGTTTTGTTTAAAAGCTTGTTTTCTTAATAGAGCAAAAGCTATTACAAAACAAAGTATTAACAAGTCACTTATTATTGCCACTATAGATCTGAGTAGGTTATGTAGCCAATCACCAACATTCGGAAACCAGCATAATAAATCAGTCTACCATGTGTCCCAACTCATGTTTTTCTCCATGGACTTTGGCTATTTCTTTTAACAGATTAGCTCAATCCAATGTAGCATTATAAATATCAGGAACATATACACAACATTCCTGTCAATCAAAGCACTAGTTCCCCCTTGAGAGGCTAATAAGATGTCTAAAGCCATCCAATTATGGAGGACTATTTGATAGAGTTGCTTTTGTTCAGTTGCCAAATCAACAAGGGCATCTGCAGTGGTATTGGCCATTATTTCTAAAACTCCTTGAATTCTCATTAACCTTTCTCCTGTACGCAAGCTCTATGCTGTAACCCTGAAGAAAAACTTGTCAATCACAGCAAACAGTATTTGGCTAGATGGACAAATCATCTGTCCTGGTGTAAGGCAACTTTTAGCATATTACACCCAGAACGTTTAGCTAGATGATGACATTTGTCCAAGAAGGGAATGCCAGATTCACACTTATTTTAGTAATCTGATATGAAGGCATGTTATAGTTACAAATTAATATAGTTGCTAAATATTTGATACGTTTTCATATGATGATTTCCACTTCAAATTTTCTCAATTTAAAGGGTTTCTGCAAGAGCTAGCTAGTTTTTATGAGGCTTCAGTGCAATAAATCCTCCAGTACTACAAGAACTGTTTTAATTAACTAAACATCTGGTTTGCCATAGCGCTTAAGAACAGGCACACACACGTGTTAGAGATTTTCTGTCAGAACAAAATGCTTTGCACATTGCTTAGCTAGGAAAAGGACTATATTTAGCATCTGATGGAAGATGAAAGCATGACTTGCATTCCTGCACAAAAGTGTCACAAAGCTAAGCTTGCATTGGTTATAATTAAAAATCGGCAGGAAAAAGTACATTAGAAGAATATAAATGTTAAAACTTAAATTAATTTTTACCCATTTAATACTGACATGTTAAATTCACTAGACCCCAAAGTAGAATTTGTTTGAGTGAATGTTGAAATCATAAAATTGTATAACAGTTATTTGTATATAAAAATAATTTATCTCTTTTTTTGTAGAGCAAGTAGAGTAACTCAACCCTGGTCCACAAAATTCTTTCTAGCTGCACCTTATATAGATATAGATTGTATTTATATCATGCCCTTTTTCCTGCAAGGAACCCAAGGCATCTTATATAATATCTTCTTCTCCATTTTATCTTCACAAAAACCCTGTGAGGTAGGTTAGGTTGACAGACAGTGTTTTGCCCAGAGTTACCCAGTGAGCTTCATTCTGGAGTGAAGACTAGAATGTGGACCTTTCGGATCCTAATGCAACACTCTAACCACTAATGTACATTGTAAACACTATTTTTATTGAAGCATTTTGTATCCCAGCCTTGAAAGTCTGTATGTCTGCTCGAAGAATAAAGTGGTCATTGACTTTAATTATCGCTTTGATGCTAGCTGGGTACAGACAGCAGCAGAAATAGAGGTGCATACATGTAAATGTTCTGAGGAAAACCTCTCCTCAGAACCTGCTTCCACAGAACCTGGGTGAAAATTCAAGAAGTGGTTGGTAGCTTTCTGACTTGGCAGAGAAAGAAGTTCCTCAGAAATGGGGCCATCACACTGAGGGCTCTTCTGTGGCTGGACCCCAGTTGGACCATGGGTTTACATGGAACTACTGGAAATATGTCACTGGATCACCTCAGTGACCAGTCTGGTTGATAAAGGAGACGTTACTTTTTCAGGTAGCATCCACTTAAAAGGACCAGGCAGGACTCAAGGAAGTAAAAGGACCATGGGAAAGATTTTTGCCTGAACGGCAGCTGCCAGTCAAAGAAAGCAAGTGGTTTACACAGACAAAACTTATGACAAAGTCCCTCACTAAAGGCTCTTGAGCAAACTTAACATTCATGGAACAAGGAGAAGGGGAATCCTCTTATGGATCAGTCATTAGTGAATTCATCATTAGTCAATCATTAATAATCAATAGTCAATTTATTAATAAATTGATAGTCAATAGTCATTAATAGTCAATTGATCTCAATAGTCAATCATTTGAAATAGAGGTAAAATGACTAACACGTAAAGCAATTCCATAGCCAAATTATGGTAGCAGATCTCTCTCTCTCTCTCTCTCTCACACACACACACACACACACACAAACATACATATATCTGTGGTAAAATGTGATATTTTGTTTTCTTGAATAACTAAAGCTTTAGAGTTTGTGTATAAAAATGGCATTTTTCTAGGCTTTATTATCTATCTACATCCAAAGTCCAATTCATTATCTATTTTTATGTTTTTTCGTCAGGGATCTAATATCATGGATACATGCACAGAAATGCTGATGTATGGAGTTTTGCTGAAAATCTCTGCAGGAAATATACAGGAACGTGTGTTTTTTCTTTTTGACAATCTTTTAGTTTATTGCAAAAGAAAGCATAGGTAAGATGAATATTACTTTGTTTTGAAAACTGATCTTATGAAATAAAATGGTGTGCTTTTTAATATTAAAAGTATATCTGATACTCTAACCAGTATAATGCTGGTTTAAATTATTTTTAGATATAAGACTTCATTCAATGCAAAGCAACTATAGAACAAAAGCTTAATGGTAGCGGACATCTTTAGTGCTGCTATTTCAAACTTTCAAAATCAAAGCTAACTTATGTTAGAACATATATTAAGGAGTTTCTACAGTGATCATGTTTTAAAATAATTTTTCTTTACATCTGTAATGCCATTAACTGATCCAGTTCATATATCATGGTAAGCCATGGCTCTGAGGTCTGTTGGTTTACTATTTAAAACCACTTATAATCATGCCCAATTGCTCCCACCATAGAGGAGGGCATAGTTCAACCAATCACAAACTTTCCATTCATGGTTTGTTTAGTGTATCATGCAAAACTTTCCCCTGACAAGCCAACAAAATAGTCTGTGGTTTATTTTCAGATGATTCTTATGAGTTGTCGGGGAACAGAAAAGCCAGAGTTCTGTATTAGCATGGAACAAATAGACCCCTTGTTAAGCAACCCCTGCCCAGGGAGTGTGCATTATAGCCTGCTCATGAATGGTAATCATGGGGGTAAATATAGTAATATTAATATCTGGACAATGTTTTCATATCCCCTGTCTCCTTAAGACGGCTGAAGAACAGCAAAGCATCTACAGAAAGTCATCGATATGTCTTCCGGGGCAGAATAAACACTGAAGTGATGGAAGTAGAAAATGTAGATGATGGTACAGGTATGTACATGTGCACCAATCAGATGATTTATTTAAATATAAATATTTGTTCTTTTTGAAGTATTTGTTTTGCTTTGTGGTTTTTATCTTCTCAATAAACTATATAAGAAACATTGGCACCGTCGTTATTTGTTTTTCGGCGCCAGGTGAAGACCTTTTTATTTAAACGTCATTTTAATTGTTAACAACATTTACTTATTTTTCTGGCCAGGGCGACTTCTTTTCTTTTATAACTTTTCTTTTATAACTTCTTTTATATCGCTTATATTTTTTATTTATTTTATATTATTAATTTTAATTTTATATTGTTATTTTTTTATTGCATTGTATTTTATTGTGTTGTAAGCTGCCCCGAGGCTTCGGCAAGGGGCGGCATAGAAATGTTCTAATAATAATAATAATAATAATGTGATATTTTGGTAGTAGCTAGCAGAAGTGAAATGGAAGACCGAATGTTTTAAGAATAGGAATTTAGCTCCTGTGTATAAACAAAGACGTGTAGTCTTTGTTAGGACTTGATTCTATAAGCTGCTGTGCTGAGGCAATATGGAACAAGGATCTTGGTAGCAAAACTTCTCAGTGCTAATACAGGGCTAGCAACAGTATTTGTCCAGTGGGAGCATTTATCTACCTCAGAGCTCCAAACTCTAAAGATTTCTTTTTAAGGCAAGTGTATCAAAGCTGTAATGTTTGTCTCTCCTAAAAGTACAAGATTGCTTTAGCTGCTGCAATGGAAATGGCCACTGTTTTGCAAGCACTGGTTCTTTGCTTGGGGCTGACATCATCTGATTGCATCGTCTCTTGGTGGATGGATGATCCTGTCTCAAAGTTACAGATTGGTTTCGATAGCCTTTTGGCCACCTCTTGTTCTGTGATTTGAATATTTGTGCTTATGTTGCTGGGCTACCATATGCAGAAATGAAACTCATGGTAAGACAGGGAAGCTTCCCAGCTGTTTCTCAAATAAATTCTGATATACTTCAAAGGAGCAATTTAAAAGCCTCCTCAAAACATGTAAGATAAGTATATGAGCATGTTCTAGCACTTACTATTTTTTAAAGTTCTGGGGTTTTTTAGTAGAACAGAAAGATGTTTTCTTCATCATTTGTCATTCTGTTTATCCGAGGAAGCATCAGGAATTACTTGGTCTAGCCCAGAGCATTTAGCGGTCGTTAGTGTATATCTTTAGCTATTTCGGTAGCTATATCTTTAGCTATTTCCTTTCTGTTATTGTTATTCCTTTCCAGCGGATTATCACAGCAGTGGCCACATTGTTCTCAATGGTTGGAAGATACACAATACAGCAAAGAACAAATGGTTTGTGTGTATGGCCAAAACACCTGAAGAAAAGCAGGAGTGGCTGGAAGCTATTCTAAAAGAAAGAGAAAGGAGGAAAGGTAAAAATTGTGGAGTGCTCACATTATATTTTTTCCCTAAACAATGCAAAAACAGAAGACTAGTTGTGTGTCTCTTGTCCCTTATTTCTTTAACCTGAGCTGTATGCCTTTCCTACTTAGATGCAGTTTCAGTAAGGTAAAAAAAGTAACTACAGAATTAAAACCAACATTTCTTTCATTACTCATAAGAATTTGGATATAGGATAGGATTGTAGTATATGCGAGGGAAGAAGCTGTATTGTACAAGTGATACAAAAGTCCCAAGCAAAAGCGTATGGTCAAAGCCTTGAGGTAAACAAGGTGGGAATAAGATAATCTGTCACATTTGTTATTCAAAAAGAAACCTTTGAACTATTTCCCAAGCAATTATACTTTAAAAGCACATACACGCACTTCATATTTCTACCATCTTCTCTCAGTTTCAAAAGCATCTGTATAAACACCTCTTTTAAAAAGTGTCATGCACAGAATTAATTACGAGCAGAATAATAGATGATTCATGAACAAAAGAGTTTTCAGAATTCAAATAGCTTTGCGAAACAGAATTCTGTTCACCATGAACAAGAAGAAACTTTTTTGTTCACACAGCAGCATTGGCCAAATTTATGCTCACTTTGTGGATATAGAATAATTTGAATAGATTTGCACAAGTATAAGAAGGAAATTGAGCTGCCTTTCTAAAATGGAGATTTTATGCTCTTAAAGAGATGCATTAATTACAAGCTGCTACTTGGAAAAATGTGTGGAGGATTAGGAGAATACAGATTTACTCCCTAACATTCTTTTTCAAGCATTGTGGGTATTGTCCTACATTGTAATGTTACCAGTTTGTACTAAAAATACAACATACTATTCAAAAATAAAGTTTCCTTCTGTTTTAAGATGTTAAGCAGAATTAATAATCAAGTGCTATTTTCTCACAATACATAAACCAGGTTTCTGGCATGCTCTGAGTCCAAGAGCATGCTCCAGAGTTCCTGAGAAGTCAGTAGGAACTCTCACCTTTGGAAAATATATGTCCCAGGTCTACTTGCTCTGTTGTGAATATACACAGCAAAAATTCCTGGGACGTAATAATTTTCATGCATCTATTGCTCATTATTACATAATCTATAAGTAGTATGAATAAATAACTGGTTCCGTAGTAAGTGATATGCTGGATCCAGATATAATCATACTTGTAGTAGAACCATTAAAATCAGTGAAAGTGAAATTTCATTGATTTAATAGGTCTAATTTAATCATTAGATCCAACCCTGGTTTGCATGAGATGACAGCTCACTCTGGCTTAATTAACTACAGGGACTGTTGCGTTGTGCTTGGTTGTGCTGGGTGTAGGCACCACGTGTCATTCATTTTGGTGTCATGCAAACTCAAGCAGCAGGGGCTGTTGTGGGTGGGCTTTCTAACCTCCAGTCTGTCTGGGTTGACATGACATAAGCCAGGACAAGTTCAGAAGATTGCAAAAATGCCATCTGGCACAATGCAAAGGCCTTCATGGATAAATGAAGCTGTGGCAGGCTATTATGTCATGCAACTAGATCTGTTTGTCCCATTACACTTGGAGCCTGGAATTCTGCCTCTGCAATATTCTAGGCATCAGAAATACATGGAAGTCTGCTTGTTCATATTGCTGCTTTTAACCAACAGGAACATTTGGTTGAAGGGAAGGACTCAGGTCTTAGGCAAGGGGCTTGGTAAAGGTGTTTCCTCATACAATGATGATGTCAGGCATGCAACAGGGTTTCCAAGTTCCACCTGGGTTCAGGAAAAGAAGCTGTTTTCAAGAATGGAAAATATATTCATTCACCTTTATTATGCATTTTGCTGAGGGATGTCCTTCACTGCTGTTGAGTAGTCTCATGTCTGAGATAACATAACCATATAATTAGTATTCAAAATACAAAGCAGTTCATAAAGGGGAAATTAACTGAACTGTGTTTTCTTTAGGTGTCAAGGGCAAAAAGTAATAGTTAGAGGTGCAGCTTTTTGACTGTGCAGATTTAATTTTGTCTGTCCACAATTAGGCCTCTCAAGAAGTATGGTAGGTATGCTGTAATGGACAGAAGCAACTCCTGTACAAACAGAGTATCACTGGGTGCTGTACTACTCACTCTTAGGCACTATCCTCACTATCTAATTTTGTAAACCAGGTACTGCAGCTATGCCCTGGTTTCCTTGGCAACTCCATAGGTAGACTGAAATGCAGCACATTCAGACTTTTGAAATCATTCTGAGGTGAGATCCCTGTTGAAGGGTAATGTCTGAAAAGACTGCATAGTCACTATGCAGAAATAGTAACAGGAATCTTTTCAGACTTGCTGCCCAAGAGCCTTATACCTGGAGTTACAAAGAACTGAACATGATATTTTTATCATTTCTATTTTCCTATAGAAAAATGATGAATTATAGAAATAATTAATTGGCTTTTCTTAATAATCTTACCATTCTATTTTTCCTAGAAGACCTTTAAATATGCCCCTTATCTTACATCCTAGATGCCAAGACTTGGAATACACACACACACCCTCTATCTGTTCTCATAAGGCTATGAATGCCAATATTTGGAAACAGTTCAAAATCACTGAATTCTGATTTCTTTCACAGGGCTGAAGCTAGGTATGGAACAAGATACTTGGGCAATGATCTCTGAACAGGGAGAGAAACTTTATAAAATGATGTGCAGACAAGGGAACTTGATCAAGGACAGAAAAAGAAAATTAACCACTTTCCCAAAATGCTTTCTTGGAAGGTATATGTTTATGCTTTGGATTTTACCTCAGTGGAAGCGTGTGTTATTATTTTTGATCTAATTAAGTATTAATCTTGTTAGAAATGCCTATAAAGCAACTAGTTTTGCTAGGAGTCCAAAATCCTTTAAACAAACTTTCTAGAAGTGAGCAGATATTATGCTCTATACAGAATAGTTGCAGAGGAATGAGACAAATAGATTCAAAAATATATGTAGCTGCTGAGCAGAACACCAGTTCAACTTTCTGTCTTGATGGGTTGTTGAAATCACAAGAATATGGGGAATGCATTCAGAACAACCTGTATTGGACAGGCCGTGCCTCTCTCACACCATATTATACTGGCTAGAATTATGTTTGTTTCTTAACATACAAGGCTTTCAAAAATATTCATATCCAAGGAACACTCACAGGAGTACAATTGAAGGAGTTTGCGGATTACTAGTTGGAGGTCAATCTTAAATTCTGAGGCCACTGCTTTTATCATACAAGCTAGAAACTTAATATCCAGACTACATGGAATTAAGGAATAAATATAAGCAGACCTGGTATTGGTGGATAACACAACTGGGGAGTTGCTGATGGTTCAAGTTTACAGCCAAAATGCCATCTGCAGCTACCTAGACCCAGCATGTTTTTGCAGTAGTGGTTTTCTTAGAGATTTAGGTGCTATGTGAGCTACTTCTCCAACCCAGAGGGCATGTACATTTTCTTACCCTACAGTCTACCTAAGTAAGTAAGTAAGTAAGTAAGACTGAGTCGATTTCATACTTTTTCATTTAAGTATAGTTGCAATCAATGGAGCTAAAGCACAGATATCTCTCTGCTGGATTGTAGTTGGGATCAGCTGCATAATGCCAGATTCCTCTAACATATCTTAATCTGGTCATGGTTCCTTGAATAAAGGAAACAGGATTAATTTTTTGCATGTGTGGTAATGGCAAATGTATACTGTAATCTTATATATGAGAGTAAGTCCAGCTGTACTCATTAGGGTTTACTTCTAAATAGATATGCATAGGATTGCATTTCAAAGAACCAAACCAACTTCTTTTGTTTCCACAGTAATTTAGCTGCTATTGACACTATTTGAGTTTTAAGATACGATAAAGTAATTCTTGCTCTAATTGCTTTTTCTAACTAGTGAGTTTGTATCCTGGTTGTTGGAAACTGGGGAGATTCACAGACCTGAAGAAGGTGTAAATCTGGGTCAGGCTTTACTAGAGAATGGCATTATTCACCATGGTAAGTGCTCAAATATTTAACTTTTAAAGTTCAGCATCTGTCTCCACAATTGTTACTTAAGTTTCAGTTTTTGCAGACCAAGGATGTGAATGAGATGACTGAGGCAGTGCTGTCATCATGTGTGTTTTAGACCCTGACCTAAATAAATAGCTTCAGTTCATTTGGAGACACCAGCTGATTCCATCTGGGTTAAAGATATTCCCTCTTTCATGGATGGACAAGGCTACCCTGAAACCTAGGCGAGTTATTGGTTGGTCATTAATCTTCAGTACTTAGGCAAGGTTATAGAACTTGTGTAATAGAAGAACGTGCTTAGAATAAAGTTATTACTGTAATTCTACCTGCCTTGAGTCTAGAGTTTAGAATGAAACCATCTTTTTGCTGGAGGAACCTGGGTCACCTAAGCAGATAGAAAGATGGAGGCTTTTGTACTGCTGCTGGATTCTCCTACTCTCCAATAACTATCTACATGGGGCAGGTGGGAAAGATTTTGTGAGATTCTGGAGTTCAGTGTCACCACAACATATTTTTATTTTACCTTACTTCTAACAGGGTAGATGCATGTTAATAAACTGAAGTGCAATAAAGATTAGACTGAGTTTGTGAGTGAGTATTCTGACACAAAGGTTGTTGATGGCACCATACTTCTTCTGAAGGACCAGGTTTCTGGATGGTCCCTGAGGCCAGTTTTAACATTTGCTTATCAGCTCCCATAACTATGTTTCTTTTAGATAGTTCTAGGCATTTCCTTTATGTATTAAAGCTGTAGAAGCATTCATCTACCTATTCATTTGCTTTTTCTTTAGTTACTGACAAGCATCAATTTAAACCTGAACACATGCTCTACAGATTCCGTTATGATGATGGAACGTACTATCCAAGAAGTGAAATGCAAGATGTTATTTCCAAGGTACCAGCCTTCTAATCACATGGTATAACTGTAAAAGTTGTTATATAAATTCTGATTGAAAACCAGGAAGTTGTACTTTCCTTTGGTCCAATTCTGCTATTTTGTTAATGGTAACTATGAATTTGAGTGAAACTGATTTGTGGGAGATTCAGAACAGATAAAAGAAGTGCTTTGCACAGTGCATAGTTAAGGCACACAGAAAGATAGCAGCTGCATTCAGCTGCAGTGATAAGCCTGGCTTATGAAACCACAGTGTAAACAAACTGTGTGCTAGTGCACAAGGCTTGCTCATTCCTGTGTTCCATAGCTTAATCTGACTAAGCAGGCAGTTTTGTTCCATTAACTGTAGTGTGTTGTCCAAGCCTGGGATTGTTTTTTAGGCCCACACAAGCCAGAATTCATAAGCCAGCAGCACATTCTGATTAAAGCTGGCTTGTTTATTTCTTTCTTTCTTTATAAAAACATTTTTATGATCCTTTTTGTTTTGTAATCATAATTCTTGCATCCCAGGGTATGAAATCAGGTTGGATGTTGGTCTAAGCTATTTCTGCCTGTTCATTTTATGTTTGTGTGAAAGGAGGAGCACAGTGGACAAGATTGGGCTATATGCAAGATCATGTTACTACTTCAAACTGTGGATCCCTAAACTAGGGTTTGTGCCATTGTTATGTGAAATGTGACCACTGAGTTACACTTGTGTTAACATAATTTTAATGAGAACAATATCTCATAGCATCAACTTTATCAGTCGTTACATAGTTGGATCTTAGTTTATATTAAAGCAGACAGTAACAACATAGTGGGACTGCAGGTGGCGCAGTGGTTTAATCCGCTGTGCTGCTGGGCTGGTAGATCGAAAGGTCACCGGTTCGAATCTGCACAATGGAGTGAGTTCCCATTGCTCCGTCCCAGCTCCGTCCCTTGCAGTTCGAAAGCATGCAAATGCGAGTAGATAAAAAGGTACCACTTCGGTGGGCAGGTAACAGCATTCCATGCACTTTGGTGTTTAGTCATGCCAGCCACATGACCACGGAGACTGTCTGCAGACAAACGCTGGCTCTCTTGGCTAGGAAACGGAGATGAGCACCACCCCCTACAGTCAGACATGACTGGACTGTAATGTCAAGGAGAAACCTTTACCTTTACCTAACAACATAGTGCATTTTTCCTTGGCCAGTGGCCAATCAAATTCAGTGTGTACTGGGGAAAATATTGTTCTAACATGGATGCTGAATGCTCTCGGCCACCCAGTTCCCTCCTGCTTCCCCCATCAGGTAGTGGATAGTGCTCCATTTTATTGGTGCTCAGTGACTGGAATGTAACGGTATACTCTTTTTTTGTGACATTCCAAACATGTTTTGAATGCATCATCTCTGAAAATTAATTAATTTATTTTATTTATTTATTAATTAAAACATTTCTATGCCGCCCCTTGCCGAAGCCTCGGGGCGGCTCACAACATACAATAAAATGCACAATAAATTAAAACAATAACAATTAATATATATATATATTAGAATAAAATAAGCCGCCCTGGCCAAATAAAATTTCCATGGTATTAACATTTAAAATACTGCTTAAATAAAAAGGTCTTCGCCTGGCGCCGAAAAGCAAATAACGACGGCGCCAGGCGGACCTCTCTGGGGAGCGCGTTCCATAACTTAGGCGCCACCGCTGAGAAAGCCCTCGTCCGAGTGACCACCCTCCTAATTTCCTTCATTGAAGGCTCCCGGAGGAGGGCCTCTCCCGCTGATCTCAGGGGGCGGCTGGGCATATATGGATGTAAGCGCTCCTTCAGGTAACCAGGACCCAAGCCGTTTAGGGCTTTATAGGTCATCACCAACACCTTGAATTGGTCCCTGACTTCAATGGGGAGCCAGTGAAGCTGACGGAGAACTGGAGTCATGCGAACATAATGTCCAGTCCCCGTCAGCAGCCTGGCAGCTCTATTTTAACCAATTGAAGTATCCGGACCATCTTCAAGGGTAGCCCCACGTAGAGCGCGTTACAGAAGTCAAGACGGGAAGTCACCAGTGCATGAGTCACTGTTGTGAGGCAGTTGTACTCCCGATAGGGGCGCAGCTGATGAATCAGCCGAAGCTGTAGGAAAGCGCTCCTCGCCGCTGCTGTTACCTGAGCTTCAAGTGAAAGCTCCGGGTCGAGGAGCACTCCCAAGCTGCGGACCTTATCCCTAGGAGGAAGTGCAACCCCATTCAGGACAAGGTTCAATTCACCTTCTCCGAAGCCTGAACTGCCTACCAACAGGACCTCCGTCTTGTCTGGATTGAGCTTCAGTTTATTGGCCCTCATCCAGCCCATCACTTCGGCCAGGCACTGGTTCAGTACAGCCACTGCCTCACCTGGATTGGTGGAAAACGAGAGGTAGAGCTGGGTATCATCAGCGTACTGATGATTCCACAGCCCACACCTCCTGACAACCTCTCCCAGCGGTTTCATGTAGATGTTAAATAGCAAAGGGGCAAAATGGACCCCTGCGGTACTCCATGGCATAGCTGCCATGGCGCAGAGCCATAGTCCCCCAGCACCACCTTCTGGAACCGGCCATTGAGATAGGAGCAGAACCACTGCAAAGCAGTGCCTCCGACCCCCAATCCCGCTAGCCTATCCAGAAGGATACCATGGTCGATGGTATCGAAAGCCACTGAGAGGTCCAGGAGAACCAACAGGGACACACTCCCCCGTCCTTCTCCCTGCACAGGTCATCATACAGGGCAACCAAGGCAGATTCAGTACTGTACCTGGGTCTGAAGCCGGACAGAAATGGGTCCAGATAATCAGTTTCATGCAAGAGTGCTTGGAGTTGTTCGGCCACCACTCGCTCTAACACCTTGCCCAGAAATGGGATGTTGGCCACTGGTCTATAATTAGTGGCCATCTCTCAGTGACGCCTTCTTCAGAACCAGTCGGACTACCGCCTCCTTACTTTTAACAAATTTGCTTCTGAATAATGATCTCCTTTTCAGAAGATCCAATTATCACATTGAAAACCTATTACACTACTTACTGGAATTCTTAAAGATTTTGAACAACTGTTCATTTAATTTATTGTGAATGTCTGAACAAGATTATTTTTATATAGATATCATCAGAAGCAGAGTTCTGCAACTAAATACATGCATTTGACTGAAAACAAAGTGACAGTTGTTGCTATATTTCAATACATTCCTCATACACAAATGAACCTGCAAGAAGCTCTCAAAGGGAGACTGAGAAACATGTCCACTGGGCTCAGGGAGGACCTTTTCTCTTTCTTGGTAGATGGTTCACTAGGGGCTAAGTGTAGTCTAGGAATTGGCTCACTCTTCTTACAAAGGAGCCTACAAGCATTGTGGAAACCAGAGTTGTCAAGAATCAAACAGGTTCAAATACTGTAGGAAAGTGTAGTGAGCATGCTAGTGCGTGAAAGGGCAGACCCAGCATCATTAATCCCAGGGTATGGCATCAGGTTTAGAAGACTGAGAAGCTGAGAAGCATCAAGCAAACTGGCCCTTGAGCAGGAGGATCGACCTGGAAGGTATGGCTTGCTCATTGCCACTTGGAAGGGAGCAAAGTATTAGTTTAGAACCAGCTTCTCATTAAGGTGCTTTTCTCTAATGGCCAGTATTCTAACTATGCTTGTTTCTTTCATTATTGAATTCAAAAATACTCTGCTTTTGTGCTTTAAAGCCAGTCTAGCTGATTAACTTAAATAACCCTTTACTTAGAAATAAAACCATTTTAGCTAGAAAACCTTTGTCCTGGTCTGCTTGAATGGAGGAGAACATGAAGTCCGGGCCCAATTCAAGGTGTTGGTGTTGGTGATGACCTATAAAGCCCTCAACGGCTTGGGTCCTGGTTACCTGAAGGAGCGCTTACATCCATATATGCCTGGCCGCCCCTTGAGATCTGCGGGAGAGGCCCTTCTCCGGGAACCCTCTGTGAAAGAAATTAGGAGGGTAGGTACTCGGAGGAGGGCTTTCTCTGTGGTGGCACCCAATCTATGGAATGCGCTCCCCAGAGAGGTCCGCCTGGCGCCGTCGTTATTTGTTTTTCGGTGCCAGGCAAAGACCTTTTTATTTAAGCGTCATTTTAATTGTTAACAATATTTGCTTATTTATCTGACCAGGGCGACTTCCTTTTATATTGTTATTTATTTTATGTTGTTAATTTTATATTGTTATTTTTGTATTTTATTGTATTTTATTTTGTGTTGTGAGCCGCCCCGACGCTTTGGCAAGGAGCGGCATAGAAATGTTTTAATAAATAAATAAATGTGTATAGCTCTGGCTTCCTAGCTCCAACTTTGTAGGTGGATCTCCAAGCTCAGAGCACACGCCCCCCTCTCTCATAGCTAGCATAGAAAGAACTACACTGGCTGCATTTTCAAGGTCAACTTAGGAGATGGAGTTTAGAAACCCTTCTGGAAGTGATGGGGAGAAGACAAGTGCTGAGAAACCTGTTCACTGGGCCCAGGGAGGACCTTTTTTGTTCTTGGTGGATGGGTCAGTAGGAGCTTATTTAGTTTAGTTAGTTTGTATACTGCCTGTTGTTAAAGACTCATGCACTAAAGGATAATAATTTTGAATGATGGCATACAAGTATACATTGTATGTTAGGACTGCTATATCTATTTCATTTTGTTATAGCAGTTTATGTTAATATTTTGAATGGGTCTTGAGCTAATTCATTTTGTACAAGTGTTTATTAGTTTTACTTGATTTTGAGTATTGTAGGTTTAACACTAAACCTATTTATCTTTAATAGGGAGTAAGATTATATTGTCGTCTACATAGTCTGTTTACCCCTGTGGTAAGGTAGGTCCTGCTTTTTCACTATTTGCTTCAGAAGCTTAGGCTGTAGTTGCTACTCATATAAGCAGGTCAAAAGATCCTGAAGTGCGTTGTAGACAAAGAACACTTGTTAGAGAAGAGCTGCAGCAATGACATCCTCATATGCTACAAGAATAATGCAAGCTTATACTGGGGAAGCTGTCTTATCCCTGGAAGCAGGGGTGGTTGTAGGATTCTCCAAAGAACCAGCCAGACAACAGGAAAAGCAGTCTGCCTCATAGCTGGGTCTCCAAGCTTGGAGCACGCTCTTCTCCTCACAGCTGGCATGGAAAGAAATGAGGGGAGGGGAGGGGAGGAGACAGGTACTGCCATGACATAAAGTATCCTGGCAGCATCTCAGCTTCCTGTCCTCACTTTCTGAGGCACAGCACCAAAACATCAGTGATTAATAATAAACTGAGGAAATTGACTGGGAAAAGATTATCTTACCTGGTATCTAAAAAATTAAAACATAGAAACTAATTATATTTCCAATATCTGAAGTTCTGGGAATACCTATGTTATCTCTCTCTCTTTCCTAGTAGGCTGTGCCTTATCTCTACTGCATGTATTTCGAGGCAACAGTGACAACAGAATTCAGCCCTAAAACTACTAGAGACTAGAGCCTTAAAGAGGACTAGAACATGTATCCCTACATCTCAATAATTCTAGCTGTCTGTATATATTACTTTGTTCTTTCTTTCTTCCAAACTGAAGTGAAAGTATAAAATAGTTCTAGATGTGAAAAAGCAAAATTCTGAAATAAAAACAGAACAACAAAGGGGATAACATCGTTTTTACCATTGCTTTTACCATTGCTTTTTTAAACACCCAAGCCTCGAGGAAGATGCTCATTCAGAAAAATGTAATAGATTAAGTTGATCATCCACAAATCTTCAAGTGAGAAGGGTTAAAAAAAAAGCATAGGTGGATGAATGTGCAATCCAATAAGCATCTAAATAATAGTAATAGTAATCTATTTCATAAATAAAAATGAAATAGAATATTCCCAAGACTTGATTCCAGGATCTATTTGGGCAAAGTGGGCTGCAGGTGGAGAAGTAACAGGTCTTCATTATGCAGATTCCAAATAAGTGTTGGAGATAAATCTGTTAAACAACTTAAATAATATTTTATCATATGGCTACTATACATTTAAAAATTATAATCAGAATAATGTATTATCAGAAACTAATAAAAATGGACTGATCAAACAATCATTTGAATCAATGAAGGTTTGTGTGAGATATGCCATCCAATGAATATCAAATACATTTTGGAGTAAATACTTTTGTATATCTTCCCTACCAGAGATAAAGATTACCATCTGAGAACCTACAAATCTGTAGTCATGGCTAATAAATTGATAGACTGGCTAATTGCACAGGTAGGACTGTATTTTGAATCACATAAGCATGATTAGAAGATGCAATGTGCATATTTACTGCTATTGGTGATAGAGATTTTCACATGACATATATTTCAATTTGTATCTATATATACACTTTACCTAGATCTTGCATCAGTATCTAGCATCCTTGGGCAGCTACTAAGACCCCAGTGTTCCAAGCTAGCCCACTGTAGGTGTCTGACCCAACCCCATTCATTCATTCATTCATTCATTGGCTAGTACTTCAAGTAGTTCTGTGCTATGTGCATTGTAATGTTCCACAATAGTCCTACAAAGCGTTTTTCTGGGACACTTATATTTATTGTATTTATATCCCATCTTTTTTCTCTGACCAGGAACTCAAGGTGGCTTATATAATCCCCCTTTTCTATTTATCCTCCCAACAAGCCTGTGACATTGGTCAGGCTGTGAGTCAGTGAATAGCCCAACATTAGGACAGAATAGATCTCCCGAGGTCCCCTGAGGTCTCAAATTAGGTCTCCTGAGTCTCAGAGCAGCACTCCAACCCACCATAGACTAGAAAGTCTATTAAAAAGATTCCATATATTGGAATGTCTGTTAAATATTTCTAATCTGTGGGTCATTGTTTTGTGTTCTGTATTGGTTGGCATATTCTTGTTAGGATTTGGGCTGATTCAGTCTCTGGATTAGTTCTATTGACACACTATCTGTTTCAGGTGCTTTATTCCTTCCAAGTGCTTTCAGAGTAGTTCGCACTTCACTTTCAAATATTGCGGGCTCTTCCTCATAGAATTCCTCTTCAAAGGATTGCCATCTTTTCATCTCTCCTCCATAGTTCTTCCATATACATTTTTAAGCTTTTTTATTGACAATCCTAAAAAGTCCCAAAGTAAGCCATTTACATTATGATACATCCAATATTCATATTATTATACACACAATTGCTTCCTAAGCTTATGCTGACCAACATTCCAGCCAATTTCCCACTTGGTCTTCTGTATTGTTTGAGTCCCTATCCCAGGCAAATAGTGGATGCCATTTTTTCATGAAATTATCTTTTTTTAATTTCTTTTCTATATAGTCTATTCCGGTTAATTAATTTCTCCATCAATGAGACCATCCATATTCTGTTAAGAAACCTTTGCAAGATCTTGAGCATATTTCCAGCATCGGGTAATTTCATTCTAGGCTGCTCCTATAAGTATCACCACCAGCCCTTTATTAGATAAGTTTTCATTTCCATTCATAAATAATGAAAAAAGTAATCGAGCTTCATTTCACAGGACATAAATGCCATCTGTGTACTACTTTTAACACCATTTCCTTAGATTTGGATGATACTGATTTATATGGTTGTCTAGTTCATATTTTAAGCTGTCCAGAGACTGTGGTATTGGACAGCATATAAAAACGTTAAATATTTGTCCAATTATTTTCTGATATACTAATGTTTAAATTAATCTCCCAACCTGTCTTAATTCCCATATTACTACCATATTCTTTATCAATAATGCTTTCATAAATAGATGAAATCAATCCTTTTTTCTTTTTCTTATCCTTTTCTATGCAGTGGCTTTTTAACTCTGTTAATAGTCTATTTGGGCCCGAACCCTTATACAACTGAATTGCAAAATGTCTTATCTGAAATAATTGGAACCAATTAGTTGCTACTTGCAAAGTTTTTTCTTGTAAATAAATAAATAACTGACTTATTTGTACAAGGGAAACCAATTACAGTCGAACAGTTACGTAGATCTTTCATATGGTTTTTGAACATTTTAAAAACATTCTCCTGGTCAGATAGTATGTTCCACTGTTTGTCTTTCAGTGTTCCTAATCTAGGCTTGCATTTCCTTTTGATTTCCTGAATCTTCTGGAAGAGATTTCTTGCTTTTGCTTTTTGTTTGTTCTTTCCTGTTTCTTTGCACTGGTCATTGTAATAGTTCCTCTTGCCTTTATGTGATTGTTCCTGAAAACTTTTGGCATTCTTCCCTAATAATTTCTCCAGTTTCAGCCCAGAGTTCTTCTGGCTCACAGTCAACTGAATCCAGGAACCAAATCTATGGATGTTAAGTTCCTCAGAAATGTTATTTAAGTTGTACTTTGGTACTTTTCTTCTGTTAGTGAGATTTTTCAGCTTGACTCTGGTTTTTTTTTTTTTTTTTTTTTAAGAGTTCTTGGTCATTACTACAATCTGCTCCTGGTCTTCTCCGTCTGTTACTTCCAATTACATAGTCTATTTCTTTAGACTTTACCATTAGCCTTCTGGTAAAGTCCATGTGTACCATCATCCATTGTGTTTGCTGATGCTGACTTCACAGAATTCTATGAGTCATTCTCCTGCTTTGCATCTGACCCCAGGCCAAATTCTCTGACAACATTGCATTCTGCTTTGTTTCCTACTTTTGCATTCCAGTTACCTATGATTATCAACATGTCTAATTTTGGTGTGTTATCAATTTCCTCTTGAATTACCTGTATAAAGGCTTTCCTTTTCTTCTTCAGCATCTTTTGTTGGAGTATAGACTGAAATGATGGTTGTGCTGATAGGT